TGGAGGCTGCATGTGGCTCTAGAATTAGAGATTCGGTGTGCTAAAGGGAGAGGATCACTCAAGAATATTGCCGGACAAGCACTTTCAGGGCGGAAAAGAGCCATATGAGAAATAGATGAAATCACAATGGGGTTCAAATCCTGTGCGTGAGTCCGTTGACCAGGATCGCGAACACTAGAACATGCTCCTCAGCCTGCTCAAACCGCTATCCCCTTAACTTGGGATAAGGAGTTTCGAAAATATACATACGTGTGTATATTAATCATGCGCCATCCGAAGATTTTCTCTCTTTTGAGTGTAAAGCTCCATGATTTGCACATCAAGCCAGCCATCGTGAGTCGAGTAAATTTGTGTTTGTGCTAAAATGTTTGTGCTGTCATTCTGAAATGTAGGATTAGGGTAGAACATTGACCAAACCGTTAGTACTAAGAAGTAGAACATTGACCTAACCGTTAGTCGTTAACTCTGAAAATTTTCAATTTTTAGGATCGTAATTAACCAAATGATCACGAAGATTACCACTCGCGGCATAAATCGGCTGGGTAAACACTCCCTGTAGCGGCATGCTCAATTTATTCTGGAAAGTTTATGCGATATTACGCCTAAGACATACCTTGAGCAGCACGGTGGCTATCAGTAACAGGAGCTGATGAAGAATCCTAGCCGTTTCTTGTCCTCTGCTTTGGATAGAGGGAAAGATAATTCAATCGGTTCAAATAGGAGCCTGAAGCCTGAAGGATTTTGATAATACGGTAAGGCTTTGATTAACGAGATACAGTTTTCCATAATGAAGACAGCTTTGTTTTCTGGTGCAAATACGACATTCTTTTCATCTATAAAGTTCCGAAAGATTTTTCTAGAGAGAGATTTGTGAAGTACCTTCGAATGTGTGAGTCCTAGAAATCTCAGAATATAGAGCCATGCTCCCTCCTAGTTACGTGTCAACTCAATCCAGTCTCATCAATGGGAAGATGATAAAAAAAAAGCAAATACATCAATTTTGAAATTGAAGCAGTAGTCCTCGCCTGAGGAATTCAATTATTTCATAGCCGTTTTTGTATTGAAATTGACGCCAATATCTCTCTCTTGTAGATCCAACAATCTGTAGCCCCGTCAGCATGCCAACCAAAATTTCCTTGCGTTCTAGCGCTTATGAGGAAGTTCCGCTTGGTGTCCAACTCAGTCCGTTCAGCCATCGTGGAGACAGGTATTCTCTTTCTTACAGAACGTCCTTTTATGCATGCCAGATCGAAAACTTGCTCTGACATTTTCTCACCGATAAGTCAGAAAGGGGGAGGTAATCCTCAATGAAGTCGTTCTTTCCATGCCGAAGATGGAAGAATGATTATTTTTTCAATGTCCGGTTTCTTATTACCTTCCCTTCCTCGCCTGTCTGGATTGGGTTTCTTGAGGGAGGCTCACCCTCAGCCCATCGCATCAAGAAGGAGGTTCTCTCTTTCCAGGTCAGAATCATGGTGGTTTGGTATATTTTGGGTTTATTTCATTGTAAGCTATTTCATTCTTCCCAGGTGTTCATTAGCTTGATAGAAAGCCAAAAACTTATTGGAAAAGGGAAAATGCCACTAGCGTCCGTTGAAAAACTGCTCTAACAAAGGCCCTATTCTTAATTTGAGGACATGCCACGAGCACACTACCGAATCCGGAAGGCAATCAGCCCGGATTCTAATAGATTCGAACTTCATGTAGAGCAGGCCTTAGCTGTCAAAGACACTTGGCAATAATTTAAATTTTACTAGCCATTATTAATCCTATTATTGTAATTAATATTGCGTGAAATGAAGTGTAACATGCGCCTGGTATCATCGTATATAAGGGAATGAGCCAGCAAGGGTTTTCCTATTGGATAATTACCTTTTCCACTCAATGTTTCGCATTTGTCATTAGTGGATTTTTATACCTTATTTTTTCAAAATGTTCCATGCATTTTACTCCTCATCCCACCGTTTACCCATCTCGTGTTTTACTTTTTCGTCACTCTTTAACTGACCATTCCTGCATTTAGCACCTTAGCGCACGTATTTTTCAAAAAAGAGAGACCATCTCTCACTTATCCAGTTTTCTGAGCATCTAAAGCGGAATGCCATCCTGCATGTAAAATGCGAACCCAGTTTCAATAGGATATGTGCAGGAACAAGGCCATACGTGCAGTTCAAGGAACTGCTTCCTTCATTTTGGCCAACCGTACGTTCCTCTCATTCCATATCAGCAAGTAAGGAAGACAACCGCCTAAGTCGATGCTTTCCCGTTGCCCAATGGGATAGCCATGCTTCATTTCAAAATGATTAGAATTCGATTTTCTTTTAGGTTTCATATCTTTTCTGCAAGAAGGAGCCCTCTCGCGCGAATTCAAGGCATATTCCAGTCCTGGATAGAATTATAAAATGCAATATAGTGAATGTGAAAGATTGTCGTGCAATTAAAATGTTCTTTCATTCCACTTCAACAAGAATAATATACAGAGATTGAAATTTGATGCAAACAACCCCCAACATCCCGAACCCCCGTTGACCTCTTCACAGGAAACTTGGACTGGGAAAGAGATTCAAATATGAAAAACGACGACTTCGTCCTTGTTGCTCACTGGGAATGTTCGGATTGCTCTAATACTGGGAATTTCCTAAAGTGGTGATATGAACAACTTCTTTGCATAAGATGAAAGAAAACAGGACCTTCTATGTCTTGGAATCAATGTGGATGTTCATTTGCAAGCTGAGACTCGGAATGGATTTAGAAATAAAATTGTAGCACATATATTGAACAAAAATGCATATACGAAAGAAATAAATGTCAGAACACGAACTACTACTCCATGCCAAGCCTCAATCTTGCAAAAATTAAAACTAGAAAATGGGACTTCGTGAGGGATAATGACTATTTCATGAAATTAAGATGTCGATTAAGCTTTACTCCAAGTCTAAAGTCAAAAAGGAAAGTCTAAATCATATTGCTTCAGACTAGTTTTCAAAGGTATGACATCACGTTCACATTGGAAGAAGATTCCAATCACATGTGGAAGTTTGAAAACAAGCGGATATGTTCGCTTGAGGAAGACATCCCAAGACTTGCATTTTTCAATTTCACCTCACAGAAAATAATTACATTTTGAATCTAAAATCCTGAGCAGCATCCATACAAGATTGACTAGCGACAGCGAAGTATCTGGTAATAGCATCAGGGGACCAATGTGCATTAAAAGGCAAGTCATTTTTACAGATGTTTCCAGCCATTGAGCTCCTATTCCTGCTCGAGTCCAATGCAAGTCTGGAGATTTGCCTCGTTAGTCAATATTGCTCCCTCACCCTCTGAAGTTCTTTTCTGCAGCTGAACTTTGAGGGAAAAGCTTCGACGTCAAAGCAGAGGAAAGAGGTGGAAGTGCGAGCACACCCATTAGGGACTATTCACTCTCAATTTTCATTCTTTCGTATGACATAGCCATAAGCGTAACTTGGGACCTACATGGGGGTGGGGCTGATGAGGCATTCAATCATTGCCCGTGAGAGCTTCTCATGTAGTACTTATTCTTTCACAGGAATCATATAGTGACGTCATGAGAATTTCTTTCATTTTTTAATTATACGTTAAACCAAAGTCTTCGCTCGCAAAGAAAAATTTTAATAAATACTCTTTTATCGTAATAATGGGCTGCATGGGCTTATGGAACGTTCTCATCATTCCAATCGCGATGAAACGTCACTGTATGCTCCTTGGAGAAAGGACTTGGAGAAAAAGAGGAACTAGAAGTGCTGTAAAAAAAAACATTGCCTCGGATTTTTCTCCAGTTTCCACGATAGCTTTCAAGAATCACCCACCCCCTCCATAACTTACTCCTAAATGAAACACATTCGAAACCGAATGTATCAAAAACCATCAGTACTAATGACAGACAGGTGAGTAACAGTGGCTAAAACGAGTTGGACCTCGACTCCATTCATTAAACTTCGATTAAAAGGATTAGAATAGGTTAGGAAGTTTATAGGTACCCTTTCCATTACCGTTATCCTGCGATTCCGACCGTCCATACACAGGGTATTTGAACCATATCTAGCGAAGTTAAAATTTTGTCTGCTTCTGTCAGGGTGAGCATGATAGAAAGAATCACCGCACATAGTCATCAATCAATCATAATCAGTCACCATTAGACTTTATAAGTAAGACTCTTCTATCGTGGCTTTAATTTATCAGTAGGGGAGTTAGATAATGAGTCCGGAGAGGAGCACGTCCTCTAGTCTGGCCTTCTCCAGTAGTTGTATACCGATTCTAATTCATCGAATACGGAGTGTAACATTGATGCTGGAGAAAGCCGAACTGCAAAACGTGTTCCTATGTCAATTCTGCGCTTTTATCAAGGAGCAAAATAGCGATAGTTGAATAAAATAGAAATAGTTGAGATGAGAGATCTACCCATATCAACCGCTGATCAAATATGCAAATTTTCTTCATGTAGTTTTCTTCATGTCAACCTGAGGGAAGCAGGGAATACTTAAATTTTCAGGTTACTTTTGAAATACTATGCATGCCTGGAACCCTGGCCCTGGAGCCCTTTATGTCGCCTTTTGAATTCTACCATGTACCATTTAACCATCTATTGATATTTATTCGGTTGCTGCTTTTTTCTAAGTTAGAATGTAATGTAACATTTCTTGAACAAGGGCTACATGTTTTAAGGGACGCATAATTTCATTTCGTTGGCTGCAGTACTGCATCTGTAGCCGAAAAAAACGTATATGAATCAAGCATAAAGGGAATGGGAAGGGAAAGTTATTCGACTCTTTACACTTCTTGCTAGAGCTATTTTCATGAAAATTGCATCTGCACAGGCTGAAAAATCACCAAGAGATTTTGAAATGTCATTTTAAAAAATTTGTTCGGCCAAATCAAGGCTATGAGCGACATTATGAAATAAGTAGGAAATTGAAATGGATAGGGAACATCAGTCCCTCTGGGGGGACTAGACTCAATCCATCAATCCTAGCTGTAAATGTGGGGCAAATCTAAAGATATCTAAAAACAGGAAACTTCCTGTCATGATGACTATTCATCAGGGACTCATCAGGGACTAATGATTCATCAAGGATTAATACGGGGGAAAAAATTCTTGGAACTATCTGCAGCAAAATGCAAGCTGGCTCAAAAGTTGAATTTAATGGGAGAGATGTTCGATGATATGCAACCACAGTGCTTCCTCAATTGACAACCAATATCCGAGTGTCCATTTTCAATATCCATCTACTTTTAAATAATTGCTTATAGCCTTGCCCCAGCACAACGAATTTTGATGAAATTACGAAAATTTGTTGGAAACATGAGTTTATACACAGTGCAATTTTCTTGAAAATATATTTAGTATGAGCAGAGATTTCCAGGTTAAAAGTCCCTTATATTGCCATACCCTGTTTTTTTTTTCGAGGAAAAAAGAATTAGGTTCTGCTAACCATAAAGCATTCTCTTTTCTATTTAGAGCGATGATAAAACCTATTTGGAAGAGTAGCATCGCCCACTGCGGCAGTCCCTTATGTTGTGGATGGCTTCGAAGGGATAAATTCTGGAGAATCGTAAAGAGTGATACATTTTGCCATGTAGCCCTATAGAAAATGTTAACCCATGTTCCTACGTCGAAGGAAATAAGAGTAATTTGAAGGCAGGGAATATCAATCAAGATTTTGCGACCCAGTTTCCACCAGGGACTGTACAGCCAATCATGAACTTGAATTTCGTTCTCTGACTTCATTTTTTTTGCACGAACCTTAAAAACTAGACATTCATGCAATGACACTTCCACAAATGCATCACTGAATTCGGAATGAAATTGAGGAGCAAGGAGGTTATCCAATGCAGAAGCACATGACAGACCATTTAGAATTTCAAGGACAGAAAGGTAGCGGATTTTTTACATCCATGGGATGCAATCAGATTGATTTCTCTTTCAATTCATGCCTGCAGCATTGCAATATTTTGTTGTGCATTCTCTTTCCCGGGGACCAGATACTAATGCGTCTTTGGCTTAGCCGTGAAAGGAAGTAGAAAAACCTCAATGCAGTCCTGGCCGACATAGAATCCAAGATGCACTACCTGATAACATAGCCCAGGTCAGCATTTAAAATCCAAGATGTACCACAGACTCAAGTTGCACATCACAGATGGAAGAGAATCATTAAGCCGCAACCACATGGAATGCAATATCAAACGCCATCGTCTACGATCACAAGCTCGGTCCGACTTGCTTCCTGGACGCACTCACGCACTGTCCTCAAAATAATCCCAATTCGCCTGTCCAAGGCCAATAGATGGGGTTCTAACAATATTGGCTTCAGTGGGTCTTCATTCAACGACTTCCACATCACCTTGCTCAATTTATTTTCCCCTTGATGGAATCTGAAACGGAAGAGGCAATGGACACTGGTCACGAGCGTTTGTCATAAATTTCGCATGGAACTCTGCAGAATTTTATAGCGCTATTAACCGTAGGAGCTTTTAAATACTTCAATCCCCTCGCGGCCGGACATTAATTCCGCCCTTCAAAACCCTTCAAAAAAGGGTTTGACAGTTATATCACTTGTTTGGGTTAGAAACCTACCCAAGGACCAGAAGAGCTCGTTGATGTGACTCGTGCATAGCGTTCGATATATCTATCATTCGTCCAATAGAGGTTAATTGTAGCGTCAGATGTATGACATTCGTACGATAAAGGTTAAAGGAAAACAAGATTGGAATTTTTTTTAACAAGTGAGAGAAGGTCGCTGGAAGTTATGCTATCTATAGTTCGTTCTACCGAGCCGTTTAATTCATGTCAACTCGCTTCTGCATGAAGCTAATTCTCATGCTTTTCCTCGCCTGCTTGAATGTCGGAACCCTGTCAAATATTATTTCTCGCGATCCCTTAAGTTTTTAAATTACAATAGGGACTCCAGCCATGTAATGTTATGTTGTTATGTCCGATATTGTCAAATATTACAAGCTACATCATGCGATTGCTTTTGACGCTAAAATTGTTCTCTGAAATTCATGAAATGTCATAATTTCAGATTTAACCTGATGCTTCCAGCAGTGATCAACGCTCAATCTGCTGCCTGCTATGATTTATACCCAGTGCCAGAAATGAAAGGCTAGCATTCAGTAAATTAATAGGCGTTGAACCTTGGGCGATTTTCTAGCGTCTGCAGGTATGAGATGTTCATTCAGAAAATTCTGTAACATGGCAGCCTCCTAACTCTCTGAACAACACCCGTCATCTTTCATGACCTCAATACCCCTTCTAGGCAATAATTTTCGGAGCTCCGGTGATATCGTTTGCTGGCGAGATCTCCCATAAACGGAATTGGGAATGAGTGGACATTAAATAATTCATGAACTGCGAGTTATCCATTAGACGGATAGAAATGAAGGTGAGACCTTAGAAGTGTGATGAGCGTGGATTGTCGCACTTGACAGCATTGGACTAGGGGAGCGAGAATGGAGACCTCATCGTGATTGGCTTTACCGAACGCCCTCCCGTTGTCCAGGTGAATCGGGAATGTATCGTTGGTGCCGAACACCAAAAACGTCTCATAGTGATGTCGATCCATGTTCCCCATCAGGAAATCAAAAATCGCCATGTCGACGAGATCCAGAAGACGACGGCCCATGTCGTAAGGTGGCGTCTCCTTCACCACTTCGCAATAGGAATCATCTTCGGGAATAAGCAAAAATCATTGCAGGAGTTTTCTAGTGAACCTAAGGTACAAATACATCTTCACTGGGATGACGCATCGAGCACCTCCAGACTTTCTGGAATTCCGGAACGTTTTCGTGCATCAGCCAAGAAATGAAACACACTCAAAGGTGGTATGGGGGGGGGGGGAGAAGAGCAAGTAAACGAATTTAAAAGAGAATGAGGATTAATACGTCAAGTTTCAGCAGAAAATTTCTCAGATGTGCGGGTATATTTTTATGCTCGGTTCAACCAAGGAAAAAGTTATCGGGATTGATTATTATTTAATTGATTTTCTAAGTTAGTTTTTAATTTTTAAATAATTGGTTATCAGAAGACTCGACAAATGGTTCCCTTAAATACCAGGACTAGGATAGGACTGTGACTGGAACTGGATTGAGAAGAGAAGGATCTCTAGCTGACACTCAACAGGACGATCTTGTATTGCTTCTCATGGGAGCTCCTTGATAGAATCTCTACGAAGTGGTATAATATGCTGATTCTTCCATTCCCTTTGATGAGTATGCTGCACCCATGTGTATTTCCGGAGTGACCTGGATGGAAGAAAACCATCGGGAGACTCACCCCATTCCCATTGGGCCTTCTTCCGCTTGTGATACGACCTCCTCCAGGGGTGTCTCCAGGGCTTCCGTGGAACGACATTCTTTGGCGGCAGGAACACGGCGAATGAGCCCTCCAGCATGTCCGGATGCCCGCAGATGGCATGCGACGTGTCGCAGTAGTAGCTGCACTTCCCGTGGAAGCAAAGGTTCCCTGCCGGCGACACGAAGAACGTCTTCAGCAACTCCCCCTTCGCGAAGGCGTAGATCTCCGTTGTAATGTTGAGGAGTCGCCCCACCACAGGCGGAGTGCGACGAAATCCCAACGCTCTGGACAACAAACACACATTGACATTGGAAGACAACAATTGACAATGAAATTGGAAGGCAACAGGAAGCAACACTCGATGCTTGAGAATATTTTTTAGTAAAAAAATCGAAGGTTCCACGGAATTTTATTTAAAACCCTCTGCAAGCAGTTGGATGCCGCTTGGATGCTGCGGCACATTCAGGAAAACTTTAGGAGATGAACTCTCAAAGGGCAAAATCTTTGAAATATTTCTGAAAAGCACGAAGATACCTCTTTATCACGATCACTTTCCCAAAGAAAACTTTGAAGTTTGATTAAACATCCAGATTAACTATAGCAAAATGCCCGAGCCCCCCCCCCTAAAAAAACTTGTTGTCCACCTTATTTTTATGCATCCACCGAAAATTTGACGTCATTACGCATTCAATAATGGATACATGGATCAGATGCTGAGCGCAGCCATACAGCGACATGAAGACAGTCGTGGGTGATTGAGGCCAGATGTGTCACAGCTGCATCATTCCATTGAATGGAATCCAATTTCAAGCTGCTACGGAAAAGCCTTGCATGGTCCAGCTGATCCCTTCGATGGGACTGCCAAACCATCCCATGATCCTATACACAGAATCCGCTGATGAAGAATCCGTTGAAACCTCTGCAATCTCCTTCCTGCGACGAGTCTTCCCTTTTCGGGGGGAATTTCCCTTCTCTTCTTCAGCGTCTCATATACTGTAGAGGCTTACGCTATCAGCAACTGATGTCATCATCGCATGGAAACTCAAGCTCAATGCCCATAGCCTCAAGATCGACTCAGCATCATATGTCGTGCACTTCAAGCAAATTTTCTAGATAGGGTTTATCTGATTTTATTGTATATATTATTTTACTTCCTCAGGAAAACAAGTTAAAAGTCAGACTGCCTTTTTGCTACCTAGCCCAGCCACTACACTCTCTTTGCTTGCCTAATACCGGTAGGACAGAAAATCTGGCGACACAAGACAAGATTGTATCATGACTATAGTGGTAGTTGATCATAGGTCAACAATTGATCGGAGTTGTATGGGGATGCATGGAGGAAAAAGCTTGATTTGAACACGAGCCAGAAAGGGAGCTGGAGGGGAAATGGGATAGGGTGATGGATGGGGGATCCAAGGGCCACGCTCATCTATCAGCAAGTCTTCTCATGTCCACCTAGGATGCGTTACCCATCATTCACCTAGCTTCAAATCCCAATTCACCTTCCTTCCCTCTCAACGTGTCATTCACTCCATTAGCCACAATTCAGAGGTGTAAGCGTCCTTTGACTGTTTTCAAATTGCTATGTTTCTTCACCCAAGATGAACGCAGGTCCCTATTATGAAATACTGAATGAAATGAATCGATGATATCAGTGAAGAATGCCCTTGATTCTACCTCAGAATTCCAAATGTTCAATGCAGTAAAACCTGCCCTAGATTATATGCTTGGAGCCAAACCCTGCTATAAGGTACTGGAGGTTATAAGCTATCAGAGGTTTTACTGTACATGGAATCCTTCGCATAACGAAAGAATATTATTGCCCCATGTGTATTAACGAGGAAGAACGATGAACTTAGGCGAGAAGCTGCACATTTTCATCACGGTGCCTTGCTTGCGCCAGAGCTGATCGCAGCTTTCGAATTTTGACAGGATTTTAGAGACAGACTTTGACAGGGTTTGCCTCTAACAGCTCAGAGAAATCTGATAAAGGTGACAGAAAAATCGCAAAAATTAAGAATAAATTAGAAGCTCAAACATAAAAATATGAGAATGATATGACAAAAGTGACTGTCAATACATTCAGGCACACTCGACAATTTTTCGTCCCCGTTTTCAGTCTCCGTATTCCTTGCTGCTGTCGAGCTTAAATTCCCAATATTCCATCCCCCATACAAGACTCCCTCGTATAGACTCCCTTCGTATCTACGATGGGAAAGAGGATTTCAGGAAAATCCGTCCTCTTCTCTTTGTTCACAGCCTGCCATCCTTATGAACGTCACGGAAGGGAGGAGGTAATCCTTCTCAACTCCTCCAGTCAATTTTTTTCTTCAAATCCCCTTGCCTTTCTATTCTGTCGATATCCCTAACGTCAGTGCGTCGGACACGGTCAGGACACTCAAGCCATCGCCATTCTGCACACAAATGCAACAGGTTTGAAGTTCGCCTAATAGTTATCTATACTTTTTCGCGTGACAGAGTTGGCATCTACATGTCTCTGGCAATTTGCCTTCAATAAGAAACCATTTGAGCCCAAAAGTGCGAGCGGTGGAAAAGCAGAGGCAGGATGGGTTCATCGATCCTTCCTCCATCGCCCTGTCGAGACTCCTGCTAGAATCCTCAGGTATTGCAAATTGAATCAAAGAAGAAGGCTTTCCCCCCACGTGAAATACTCCATGATTGCAGTACGGGATTCCGTGGGAACGGAATCCATTTAAGAAACTTGAAAAGTGCTCAGGTTTCATTTTAGAATGGGATATCGATTCACGACCGCGACGCAGCAAACCCTTGAATGCATTTCATCCACTTTTCCCGAAGACGTTCTCGACGAACCTGAGAGATTCGCAAAAAGCTCGCTCTTCGACTTGGCTCGAAAGCCCACTTTCAAATTCTTATCGAACATTGACACATTTCTTGGCATTTCCCAATTCTTTTCCGAGTTTCCCTTCCCATCTCCAATTCCATCAGACTCGAGTGTACTCGTCCTACTGGCATCTTATCACCATTGGCGGCTCGTGATATTTAGCGCTAGTGTTTCGTCTACGGAGAGGGGGTAGGCGGAGGAGGGCCTACACTCTTAGAAAAAGGGGAACGATTTTTCTCAAAAGAAAGAGTAAAATAGCTAACTCCAGTTTTGAATATTGCAGGAAATGAAACATCAACATTACAAAGGGAAAAGTGAAAAGCGAAACCTGGAAAAATAGCTAACTCCAGTTTCACCCCCCTTTCACTCTGGGAAAGGAGCGAATTTGCTCCATCACCAAGGAGTAAAACTGCTCTCCTCCTCCGTGAGTAAAAACGCTCCCATCAGAAAGTGATAGAGATGTCATGCAAATGCGAAAATTCTCATATACTTAGTATAATGTGTGTCGCTTTCGCTCTCGGACAGGTGATGACCTACCTTTGACAGTACTGATTACAGCACAGGTCAGAAGAAGGATCACCTCTTATAGGTTCCATAGAATGTCCGAGATATCAGTTCTTTATTACCTCATTTAATTGAGGTGTGACTGAAAGAAATGCACGGACACTATATATTCTAGATTTCCTAAGCGGATAAATGCAAAAGCGTTCCGAAATGGTTCTCAATAGGAATATGAGCTTGTTTATGACCTGGACTCCATGAATATGTCTTGAATATGTGGATAACAAATGATGAAGTGTCCGTGTTTATTGATTCCTAAGAGTAAATTCGAAAAGCTCACGGTGTGCTCACTTTTTACTCCCCAAACGCTAGGAATTTTCTAAGAGTGTACCCCCTCTCCATAGACGAAACACTAGCGCTAAATATCACGAGCCGCCACGGCTTATCACCAGGAGTACGGGATCTCACCTGTCGAGATGGAAAGCTGCGATCTCTGCGTTGTGTCTCTCGAAGTCGGTGAAGTAGAAGTGATCGGGTAAAGTTTCCCGATCACGTGGAAATCTGGAAAGAGAGAAGTGCCCAAGATGACATTCACAGAGACTCGGGGATACAATGATAAAGGACCACACAATAGTATCATCTCTGTAATTATCATAAAGAGTTTGCGGCTACGTCATTCGGGTAAACGAAGAAAGCTTTATCTCTCGCTGCGGCATGCACATCTAATACGAGATACGAATCCCTTTCCTGGAAAAGACTAAAAAAAATTATTATTGTTTCCTTCGCCTTTCTGGGTTTCTAACTTTAACTGGAAAACGCACTTGGAAACCTCCCCCCCCCCCTCTCCTCTCGGAGGAACTCATGGCATTTTAATGAGATTTGTCGAAATTAGCAAGCCCACATGCACAAGCCGGGTCCTCGATCTAATAATTGGATGAGACATCATGAAGTGGAATTCCCGAGGGATCGGACATGGCGCATCCACGTACGCGTTCTGCAATGCATCTCAAGTCAAACGGCTTCTTAACGGATAATTTTCTTTTCGCTCGGGTCCCTGGGCTCTGCGAATCTCTTCAATATAGTCAAGAATACACGATCAAAGATCCCATCCATTTCAAATGAGTCTCGAGCCGGGGGCTGAATCAACAGTACGTGATCATGTATTCCATCCATTTCAAATGTGTTCTTTGCCGAGAACTGATCCATTGCATTATACTTTTATGAATTTTCCGAGCAAATCCTCCGCCTCAGGTTTTTTATCCTGTCTTTAGCTTGAAGGCATTATAAGAAATTTAGCTCGGATCTGTTCACAAGAATTTATGAAATTTGAAAAATCACTTATGACGGCTGTAAGACAAAATCCAGTCTTGAATATTGCAGGAAATGAAACATCAACATTACAAAGGGAAAAGTGAAAAGCGAAACCTGGTATAAACGGTAATCAACTTACCAGGCTTCAACATGCAACACTGCCCTTAACGTAGACCAACGAATATATGCCCTATGCTTAACTCCTATTCTTTCGTTCCACCTTTGTGGTGCAGTTTCAAGTTCCAGGCAGGCAGCGAAGTGGTTAATTTATATACAGGGGAGGCACATCTCCGAGAGGAACGCTCGGTCTTTGGAAAATCAACTTAAGGAAGTAATTGGGTTCCGTGAGACGGAGAAGGCCTCAAGGGCTCGGTAAACAGGGGGATGAAATTAGAGAAGATGAGTATATGAGCCGCCTCTCGTCCTTCAGTGCATCGTCAGTGAAGTGGAAAAGCTGGAAGAAGCTTTATATATGAGGCAACTATTTCATGCCTATTTCATTAATTTCGTAATTAATCCTTCAGAGAGTTTTGCGACGAGGCCTGAGCTGCATCTGAGATCAAATAAGAATCAGACATGCATGAACAAAGACGTTTTCAAAGATTCAACGCATTGTTCTGGAGGTGAAATGAATGCAACACGTTCGCAATAAACTCAAAATCATAAAATATCCTCATGCAGCAGAATCCCTTTAAAATGTAAGTAATATTCTACACATCCCGCATGTGGCCTCAATCCACGGTATTCAAGGAAAACGTTTTCATGAAATTTTCAATTTTTTCAGAGATATTTCTCAAGGCATTTCATCCAGCAACACCCAGATGGCCTTTGAAAGCAAAAACGGAACGTCCTGCAGCGTGGAACGCATTAGACCATAGAAATATGGACTCACCTCATTGGCTTCATCATGGCCTGACCCCCCGACGCGTAATCGATCATCAGCTTCAATTGCGTTCCTCCATCCTTTTGCTCTGCACACAAAACCAGACAGGCGTTCGCCTTCAGACATCGGAAAGGCTGGGACGAAAAGGGATGCTCGAGAGGAAAGTTTTTGTCGGGGCAGGAGCATCTCACCCAGCTTTCATCTCATTGGACTTCCATGTATTCCTGATTTTAAGAATGCTAATCTCGACCCCTAACATTCCTTTAACGTAAAGATTCTTTCTCTTTACCCTCATCTCGCTCGCATTCCATGACGTCCTCATTTTCAAATATACCTAAGGATTTTGATGGTGATAAAAGAGCTTCTCGTTTTGTGTGTAACCATGAACTTCCTGTCAATATTGCAAAGTAGGACGGACTTCTTGAGAATCTGGGGGACTTTGAAAGTTAAGAGTAAACAAGAGTTATAAATATGCACATTTCCTCTTCGACATTATATTCGTTTTACAGAATGGTTATTCACCTCCCACTTAGTTCTCAGAGACCTCAAAAGTTGAAATTCCCATTCGGCACAGCAATTCGTGTCAACATAGTGCAAAGGTTGATTTGGCATTACCTTTTCCTGAGGGCACTAATCCTGACAAGATCCTTGAAAGTACTCTTGTGAGTACTATAATCCCAGGGAAGAGTTCTTCAGAGATTGTAACATCCTTTACATCAGATCATCAACATCGGATCAGAGTCCGAGTTATGGACTTGAATGAAACATCTCATTCTGTCCAGCAAAGGAGTTACGTGCCCAACACCCTTATCTCCCGGGAGAAAAGCCAGACTTCAATAACCGATTAATACGCTCTGCCATTTTCGAAAGAGACATACTGGTGCCGTGTAGTGAAGTAGTTCAGCATGTCTCCTCAGAGGACCCCCTGACCAGAAATACCTAGTCTCCTCCTGCCGGGTTACATCCTTCAACGGGTCTATCTAGAAATTCCAAAGCCTTCTCTTAACCCTTAGAATCTCAAGGTGCCGATATATCGGCTCTTCATAATGGGATGCAATTCCGCTTGGGAGCGAAAGGGTTAAGTTGTACATGGTACAAGATCGGGTACTGTATGAAAAATACATGCGGCTGTATTTTTCAGGATACCAGAATGAGAATCGCTATATCAGCGGGTTAGGCGCCATCTCGCGTCGATTGGTAGAACCTATTTTCGGTTAAGATGATGCAGGTAACTCCATGTTGAAACAACATTGAGACTATGATAAAGGCAAGTGTGAAAAACTGATTTGCACATAATGCCTTCCAAACGACTTCCTTAATCCATGAGTAGTCTCTATATGCTGAAAATTCCATTAATTACGAATACCTGACATTTAATTGATGTTCATTCTTCGCTGAATTCTCAACTTCAACCATGCCTCAACATTTCAACCATTTGTCAATGTGACGTAACGTTGTTGTGCTGAACATACAGCAAATGCTCAACTTTCACAATGTCGAAGATGTCCAGCTTTTGCACCGCCTCAATACCATCATGAAACTTAATACTGTACATTAAGGATTGTGAGGAGCACACGCAGGATTCGAGAATATGTGCGGAAGTTGCAGAGAGCAAAGTCACAGTTGGGACCAGGTTACCCAGCGTTCGTCGTGCTATAGAATGAAAAGTTGACACACCATCAATTACGACTGATATAAAAATTAAATTCAACAAGATTCCATTGAGTAACCTGATGTGGTGCCTAGCTCAACTGCGTCAGCTGCAACCGAACTCAAGAACAGCTGCCTGTGTTGATCCTATTTTTAATTTGGAACTGATAAACACGAATATTGCTAATTGCCATGGCAATGCGATTTAATTTTTTGCTACTTCGGGATAATTTACCGACTATTAGAAGGCAAAAGGGTATACAAAAGTATAACCTTTTCTATTATCGTGCCAGATGTGAGGAAGAAAACCCGTCCGTTTATGGATTTACATCCAGGCTTTCGTGGACAACATCTTTTTATTAATCTAATTCATCAGTGTAAACATCCTCATAATGCGATCTTCAGATCCAGAATAGAATTAGCCGGACTTTTGAAGCAGGGGTCTGTGATATGAATGCATGGAAAATGGAAGTCAGCACGAGAGTATTGGAAGGTCCAGAAAGAGAAGAGAGAGGCTTAGTGGGAGAGCCAGGGCGTGACCTGCATGGATTCCTTCATCCATTCATTCATTCATCTCCGTATATACCAAGTATTAGACCTGGAGTGCAATGCAGTGCGATGCAATGGATCCCATTTCCGAGAGGACTAAAGGGTATTCCCCGACGCCTTTGTTCCCCCTTCTGCTCCATCGATTTCACACTAAATCCCAAGTCCTCCGACGTTTTGTGACGCCTTTTATGTTCTCATGTCTCTTTTTTTCGCATTCCTAGAATGCGTCCTCCGAGCCGTCTCCCCTCACCCGCTGTACCTCTTCCGCAGATTGAATGGGTGCTCCCCCCTCTGGAATGGGATTCAGGCTTCTTATACCTTCGAATGCTGACTGTCTGCTCAGTTTGTTTCCTCCCTTTCCTCCTGGCAGCAGCTGGGATTTAAGGGTGTTGCCAGACTTACTGCGATGACTTCCGAGAATATTGGCGATCGATGCACGAAACGATTCTGCGACGTACATATGATGACAACATTTATTGAATGGAAGCCTATATAGATATGAACGCCTTATCGTTTCCATACGAGACCATTTAAGACTTTATGCAGTTTGCTTGTCTGTCTCTCAAGTGCTGAGAGCTTATTTCTTAGCGAAATTGAAAGAAATTGAGGAGATGTTGAAGGAAAAAGTTCTGATAATTGAATGGCAGGTTCTACCTTACACGATAACCCCATATAAGCTCCGCGTATCTGTGTCTTTGGATACGCTCTGAAACTGCACGTCCGATGACCGTAAAATTAAGATACAACCTGCCAATTGGCCCGTGATGGTTTGCCAGGGATCCACACTAAATGTTCTTTTATTAATTTTCGAGTCCCGCTCCGTGAACTGCGCGATTCTGCGCGACCTCAGGGGGGGGGGGAGAAATCCGTGCATCTAATTCATTAAAATTAAACGATAATTTAATCATAGTTTCAGTAAGCAGGCTTACACGCCTCCTGCACGTGAGTCTAATTAGCGTGATTATCCACGTCGCATAACACTCAGGAGATCTATCTTCCTTCAGACGCTTGGAGAAAAAAAAAAATTATTATAGATGCTTGAAAAATCTTCTCACCCCTTAATCTCTCATTCTTATGAACTTTTTAAAAATCCTCTTCTGCCATGAAATTTCCTTTCCCACAGTTCTCGAAGGACACAAGTCAAGGGCGAGCTTTAGATTTACTTTTTGCTTCCCTTTTGGAAAATAAATTTATTATAAATAGGCATGGAGGCCTAAGATGTGATAATATGCTAATATGCTAATATATGCTAATAAGTATTCTCGGTCGGAAAGCAAATGAACGGATTTTGCTTCGTCCCTACCCGTGGAGTCTTCCCTCTGTAAAACATGCGGAAAGGATCGAGTCCTTTTCACGCAGCTCTCTCGAATCTCGTCGTCTTTCAACTGCTTGAGAAGAAGCCCAAGATCACGCTCCTCTCATTCATATGGTGCAGTTCCACAAACGACAAGACGCAGGCCTGCATTTCACGAATGTATACAAAACACGCACGAGTGCGTATACAATGCCCACGAAAGCATCGAAAATAATTCACTCGATCGTGCCTCTCATGTATTCATGCGTGTCACAGGAAAGGAGGGGATCACTCACCCATATGGACGATCTCATCGGTGGTCATATCGTGCAGGAGTTTGTCCACAATGGAATCCGGTTCCTTGTACATCTCCATCCTGGATATCCCCAAATGAAACCTCTCGAAGCTCGTTGCGTTTTTCCTGCCATTAAAGAAAAAAGGATTTCGTTCAGAAACCATAACGTGGGTCATAAAATCGGGACAAATAGAAGTACTATTATGTTTTACAAGTAATTTCAACTCGACCGATTTTTTTGTTTGCCAGAGGGACATTTAAATGCATTTCAGAAATATATTGGACATACTGTTTCGGAGTCGGATATTCCAGCAACGTGCTTCCTTATTCGAGATAGCTGCTATCCCAGGGACAGCGGTCGATTGGGATTCCCTTCCGCTAGGAGTTAGATTGAGTTCCAGTGTTAACGGGTTTGAAGGACGCACCCTGCATCTATTACCGGCCCGCCCACCGGCCCCCCAACTCTGGAATTTGAGCCTATTACGTTCCGCTTCCAAGCTTCATATTGCACTCCTTGGCGTGCTTCGAGGGGAGCCAAGAGCCTCTTGCAGGGTGGGGAGACAATAAGGGGTGAGGACGCAGAGAACGCTCATCCTAACATATAATCGATACTATATTCATTTTTTAGCAGGCGGTCTTTCCTCATTGAAGGTTTACCATGCACATACCCATTGCACTAAACCACGTTTATTATGGATAAAAATTATGGGGAGGTTTTCTCCTTGTTACACAGGAGGTGGTTGGTGCAATTACTAATTGCTGGACGTAATTGTTTTTAAAGAAATCAGTCCCGTGCTTTTAATATGCCGTCCGTATGGCCGTGTGTGCATGTGTGCGTGTATGTGTGTGCATGTGTGTGCATGCGCGAACGTGTGCTTTACTGAGCACCGACTTTCATGAGCCTGTCCTCATTATGAATCCTCAATGGAAATGCCCCTATTACGTGCATCGCTAATACAACCGAATGGAACCATGGAATGGAAACCCTTATAAGATGGGAATTTAGGACGTATTCCTACTCGTAAAATGCAGTACAGTACATGAAGAGTGGGTCTTCGCCTTCTTCCAAATTTAGGTCGGTTGTGTCCCACCCGTGGAAAGAAAAGGGGGTCAGAAGAATAACGTTATGGACCTATCAATCTTGGGTATTGTTTCCATGCATATCAATAATTCATGTATTTCATTGCCTGCTCTTACTTTCAGACCTTGAAAAAGGGAATTTGAAATATATATATATATATATATATATATATATAATAAGATGGACAATCACTGATAGAAAATGGCTGTTCAAGGGCTAGCCCTTCTATCAGTGATTGTCCATCTTATTATATATATATATATATATATATATATATTTCATTCATAGACTGTCTTGCTCAAGATTACGCAAGAAACAGTGCGACAGTGATGGTGATATGGCCAGGTTGACGGGGACTTTATGGGATCTGGGTTCGTTCATGTCATGCAATCAAATGCTTTCATCAGTTATTGTGAATGCACCAAGTTGGTGGTAACGTGGGAAAAAGTAATCCCTTCCGAGCTTAAACTGAGGGAAAGCCTAAAACCGTGATTAGGAAGCATATAATACTGTGCATTATAAAAAAAAGGTCAATTCACAGCAGTTCGACGCGATGCAATCGATATATAAACTCGAGGTTTCGGTTTCTTCGCGGAAAAAAGGCGATAAAGAAGACCAATGATGTGACTCCAGAACTCTACTCGACCAATAGAGTTTGCAACATTGCAAGTGGATTCTCGAATGGCCTTTTCATGCACGTATCTAAACCCCAAAAGTTTTGATAAACGACTTCTCTTCAAATAACCGCGAATGCTTCATAAGTTGCACGTGGGCGTTGCAGTAATTGCCATGCAACAACGTTCTGCAGGGAGAAGGCTAAAAGTTCACTAAAAATAACATCTGCCCTTTAAATAAATACTATTGAATATAAAATATTTGCGCAGGTCACTACAGTACTATAGCATCCTAAACTGTAGTTTGTTATATTATTTTAGGATCGTACATTATTTTCCAGACAGATCCAACGTTGAAACCGTGGAAGCTCTACTTTTTTTCTCTGACATAAGTATGATATAGATTCTAGGCCATTCTCTCTCTAAGAGCAACTCTTTTCCGACAGATATCGAGAGCATGATGGCAGCACGCAATCTCCGTGCTTTTCCATCAAACGGAATCGAATATGCTCTCTGCCTTCTCCAATCCATTAACAGTCATTTTGTCTCCTTTCATCTACTGGGCTCTAATGTGCCTATAACCCTCAGAGTTACAATTAAGTACTCCTTGCTGCCTTTTCTCCTAGGTATCAGATTCTACCACAGGCTTTAGTGGTACGTGTGGTTCAGTTACGGCGAATGACACTACATGAGCTATTCAAACTACTTAAATGAAATTAATTAAACATTGTATGACTTCAACGTATGATTTACAATGAACTATTAAGTGATTTATAATAAATGACCGCGTGAATGGTTCACATCGTGAATGGTTCACATGATGTCTCGTATAGTGAATTGGCGATCGAATGGATACGATAGTGGAAGAATATTCTGGATAGGAAGAGGGGGAGAGGAAAGGAGAAAGAGAAAAACACGAAGGAGGTGGGAGTGAAGGAATTCCTTCGGGAGGAAGAGTCGGGAGGTTACATGACGATAAGCAAGAGGGGAGAAACAAGGGATGGAATAGAGAATCGGGTTCCCCTCATTCCTCCTAACCTACCTTCTTCCTAACGCTGAAGGAGAGTTCTAGCATCATTCCTGGCATGATCTCAAACGACTTTACTCGAGAACCTCCTCGACTGCTAAGGCCTGTTTCCCAAGGGAAGAACAGAAAATGCGAGGAACGTGTCAGACCCAAGATCGCATTCGCACTTTTACGAGAAAGCTAAAACCTAATCAACTTGAACATAATGCAATTGTGCTCACCCACCCATGCTCACCCAGCCTGGCCTGCGTAGGTGGGAATTTTGCTTCAACAAAGAACATAACTAGGATTGGCGTGTCCTTCCATAGCTAATACCGATCATAGAATTCTTTTTTAGCAACGTCAAGAAATCTTCCGAGTTATTTCGTCGACACTAATTCGGTCCTATTTTCATGCAATTGCAAATGCATTCCGTCATAATACTTTTCAGATTCTGAAGTCAGTTTAGCAATGAATTAATGAAAGAATCACGCCGAAACGAAGAAATTGGCCAACATTGCTCTCATTTTCTTGTTCGCGGGGCCAGAACCTGTCTGCGGAGTGGTATCGTGCTTTTGCGCTAGAAAGTTTCTCTCTCGAAAAAAAAGTGGAAGAGGCTCACGAGTTCAGCAATGGATACGAAGGGAACTGCTGACCGGTTTCGACGAGAGATATTGTCCAAGATGTCGGCGTCCATGAAAGTCACTTTCACTCGGTCCCAGTATAAGCACGACATACATATCTCGAGGATATGAACTGCTACTGTTTTTTTTTTTGTAGACTATCTCCTCCTTGTACAAGTAATGACGCAATATGCCTAGATTCCATTCCATCAGCCCCGCGTCGCAAGTTGCACAACTTTTGAAATACCGTCTGGGTGGGGCGATGAGTGATGCATTCTCTCCGATGCGAGAGCAATGTCTTTTTACCTGTCCCTCCATGGGCTAGATGGAAAATTGCGGCACACCCCGCCCACTCCTGAAGGAAGCTTCGAATTTTTTTTTCATCTGGACAAGAGAAGGTGGAAATAGGAGAAAACTGGACGGGACCAGACGATGGAACCTGCTCTACAGGAAGTGAGAAATAATGCCGAACGGGCGGAGACGGGGGAATCCACGCGTATTCCCCTTTCCCTTCTGCTTTACTCGTTTGACGAGAAAAAACTAGCCAATTACCCGTGGCGATACCTGCGGATGACATTAAAGTCATCACGTTCTCCGACTATGAGCGAGATTCATACACATAAGGAAACCATCTCCCAATTCCCTGCAGAAATCAAGTTTGATATTGAATTCTCACTTTTAATAGAACGTACGTTAATCATTTTTAGCTCAAATTGGCTTAATTGATGCGTAATTGAATCATTTTTCAAGGGGGTCATTAAGTTGAACTCTCCGATAACCTACTTATTTTTCCATCATGCAGTTTTTGAGAACGAGGTGTTCACGCTGGGTTAAGGTTGAACGTTTGCGAATCTCCATTCCCTTGGTAGAAAGGAAATGGGGAAAAAATGTAATCTGTACCATTACTTGGAATCAATCGGCATCTAATTGAGTATTAGAAAAATTCGAAAGCTCTCGTCGAAAATTTTGCGCCCATCTGCCACGTCAGGCCAGAAATCCCTTTTAGGACAGGATCGATACAATAGCACTCGACACGGGAAGCACCTCTCCATGGATTCACAAAAACATGTCGAGGACGAAGCCCTCCTTCAGAATGATAAACAGGAGGTCAACCAGGAAAGGAGAGGTGGAAAGAATATGAACACGAGAGCAAATATGGTGCAGGGGAGGAGGCTTTGGCGGAGCGTCCGAGATAATTGGACTGCATCTCGTCCGAGACCGACAGCATCTGGTTCTTTCCCATCCCCTTTCCCAATTCCTTGCCATTCCAGCTTTTCTAGGCTCATTACATTACTCGCTGGTCATGCTAGTGAAACAAGCAGATCAGTAGCCTAGTCCTCTGAGCATACATTCTGGTACTGTTATGGCGGTACTGTCTGGTACTGTGATATTGAAGAGGGCGAGGGGGGACTATCCCTCACCCCACCGAACTCCTATGAGACTTCACGAATTTAAACTTACTTTATGAAACTTAAGAGAAGAATATATAACTCAAGTTTAGGAGTCGGGAACCTTTTAGCACTTGAAAACGAAACGAGACTCAGTCAATCATCCAAATGACTTTTGCCGGCGCTTGGCTGTCGTCAACTTTGCGAAAATGCCTTCCACTTCAGAATTTCCACTGTAAATTGGGAATTGGAACGAAAAGAGGACACTGTCAACACAGCACAAGTGCGTAAATCGTAAATCTTCCACGTAATCTTCGTAAATCTTCTATTGAGTTTCATAATGTTAAATATCCTGTTATTTAGTAGCCTAAGGTTATGCGTGGTTATAATTAATCCAAACCGCTCTCTGAAAGT